TCTCTGCATACTTTGTTAGCCCCCTTTTACCCTGTTCTTCAGTGGTCAGGACCCCCATGGACCCTCACAGAGCAGGTACTATTTGGGTGGTGGATCATTCTCAGCACTGCAGTAACACTGATGTGGTGGTGGTGTGTTAGTGTGAGTTGTGCTGGTCTGAGTGGATCAGACACAGCAGTGCTGCTGGAGGTTTTAAACACCTCAGTGTCGCTGCTGGACTGAGAATAGTCCACCATCCAAAAATATCCAGCCAACAGCGTCCTGTGGGCAGCGTCCTGTGACCAACGATTAAGGACTAGAGGATGACCAACACAAACTGTGCAGCAGCAGATGAGCTATCGTCTCTGACTTTACATCTACAAGGTGGACTGACAAGGTAGGAGTGTCTAATAGAGTGGACAGTGAGTGGACACAGTGTTTAAAAAATCCAGCAGCACTGCTGGGTCTGATCCACTCGTACCAACACAACACACACTAACACACCACCACCACATCAGTGTTACTGCAGTGCTGAGAATGATCCACCACCCAAATAGTACCTGCTCTGTGAGGGTCCATGGGGGTCCTGACCACTGAAGAACAGGGTAAAAGGAGGCTAACAAAGTATGCAGAGAAACAGATGGACTACAGTCTGTAACTGTAGAACTACAAAGTGCACCTATATAGTAAGTGGAGCTGATAAAATGGACAATGAGCATAGAAACAAGGAGGTGGTCATAATGTTATGACTGATCGGTGTAAATATTCAGTGATTCATTTTTGCAATTCATCGCTCATTCAGGACCGACTGCTGTGCAAAAAACCATCAAGGAGATGATTAGGAGTGTTTCTTTCTATAGAGTATGCATCTATGAGCTAAGACATGTCTAATGGCACAGGAAAAGACTTTCCTTGCCTGAAGTGCGTGCGTTTGGGTGTGTTTGTATGATGAAATTCTAGCTTCATGTATCGTAGTGCGTCAGTCTGGGAATTGATTAAATCCATTTACATGTTTTTTATTTTGTGCACTCATCACAGAGTTATGTCATAATGTTTCTTTAGTGGTTTCAGTTTTTTTTTTTAAACCAGAAATGATCAACTTAGCACCAGGCTGGGACTTATTTTAAAAAGACATTCTGTTTACTTCCGTTCCGTGTTATTCATACATTCATGAGAGCTTTTGATCCTTTTTTTTAATAACTAACTATGATATAAGCAAAACAATTAGCACTTCCAGGCATGTTTCTTCATATTACGCACTGCAGCCTTTTACAGCTAGAGCACTTTCCAAGAATCAGAGGGGAAATCGTCTACCTCTATCTTTTTTTAAAACTTTTTTCAAAGCAGAAAATAACATTCCTAAAGTTTTTTAGCTTAGATGAAGCAATAAAAAGGTTCTATGACTTTTTGCGTAAATACTGAAGTCCCTACACTTGAGTTTCATATCACTCAGTTTACAGAAAGGCCTCTGAATTCCCTCTGAATGCAGAGTATAATTGCATTACGTAACTGTTCGGTTGTTTAAGTTATGCAACATTTAGACCATATAATTACAGCCTCTCGCATGGAAGACTTGCTTAACTTCATAGCATTTTAATCAAAAGTTTGATGTCTTTCAAAACTTTGTCCACTTTTGAACTGTGTGCTCCTCTTATCAGTGCACTTATATCTGGTGTTTGGAAATTCCCTTAATCACAGATAATTAAAAGGAAATATTACACTGTGTTTTGCACGTCGGGCACAGTGGGGGAGTTTTTTGTATGGTAAATTACAGAACATGGAATTCTGAATCATTAAAAACAACAAGCCCCCTGGTGGAGCCCCTCTTTTGGAGCCTGACAGAGCTTAGTTAATGAGGAAAAATGAAAGGATGGGAGAACTGATGTCAACAAGCTTGTCTCTCACTAAAGGCTGGGCGATATGGTAAAAATACAACCTCGTTTTGAAAAAGTTGGGACGCTGTGCAACATAATGCAAAGATATGCAAGTCATTTTAAACCCTATATTTCATTGAAAATGCTTCAAAGACAACATATCAAATGTTGAAACTGAGAAATATAAATGGGTATAAAAGAGCATCTCAGAGAGGCTGAGTCTTTCAGAAGTAAAGATGAGGAGGGGTTCACCACTCTGTGAAAGACTGCATGATCAAATCATCTATGGTACATAATCACATTTAAAAGATTCAGAGAATCTGGAGAAATCTGTGTACAGTTCAAAAGCCAGTATTCATGATGGTTTAGGAGTGCATTAGTGCACATCTGTGAAGGCACCATTCATGCTGAACAATAGATACATGTTTTTGCAACATGTGCTGCCATCCAGATGACGTCTTTTTTTAGGGAAGGCTTTGCTTATTTCAGCAGGACAATGCCAAACCACATTCTGCATGTGTTATAGCAGCATGGCTCTGTATTAAAAGAGTGCAAGCGCTAAACTGACCTTCCTGCAGTCCAGACCTGTCACCACTGAGAATATTTTGCACATTGTGAAATAAAAAAATACTGCAAAAGAGACCCTGAACTGATGAGCAGCTGAAATCCTGTATCAAACAAGAACAGGAAAACATTTCACTTTCAAAACTACAGCAATTGGTCTCCTCTGTTCTCAAAACGCAGAGTGTTGTTAAAAGAAGGGGTGATGAAACACAGTGGTAAACAGGCCCCCGTCCCAACTTTTTTGGAACATGTTGTTGGCATCAAATTCAAAATGGGCACATTTTTCAAAAAAAACAATAAAAATTTCTCAGTTTCAACATTTTTGAGATGTCTTCGTAATATTTTCATTTAAAAATATAGTTTATATGATTTGCACATTATTTTTATTTACATTCTGCATAGCGTCCCACCTTTTGTGGACATGGGGTTGTATATCTCAATGTTTTTCAGCCTTTTGGCAATAAGCGAATGAGTGAGATTAAAATATTGTTGTTCCCAGGTAGTTTCTGCAGCAAATGTTTACTGCAATGGAAATACAGTAAAACTCTATGCTCGAACAAATCAGTCTTTTTCACTAAATGAACATACATAACTTTACACCACAGTTAGTTCTGACCTTGCAATGTGATTGTCTGAGACTGAGAACCATCTCCTGATAAAAACACTCTGAATCAATATCACTCCACCAATTTAAAAAGGAACCAGCCACAGCAAAGCTTGTTATGAGCAGCAAGCCTGACAAAAAGAACTAGGACTATAACATCTTGTCCTCACAGCAAACGATGCAGGCGAGCAAAAATGACAAAACCCAAACACTCACACTGTAATCAGTAAGACTTCACCAGACACAAGTGACAGGTCGCTGTTTCCGATGCCCTGTTCCACCGTAAAGGCAACATGAACTGAAAATCGTAACACATTTTGTCGTAATTCCAAGTGAAACTAGATATTCAGGTGGGAAATCATTTGATTGGATTGTGAAAAGCAGGCATTGTGTGGTTCTGCACTTCACACCATCATCAGCTGACCTGCCTCACAGCCTCACAACCTCACAGTGCGACTTCAGAAAACTTTAAAAAACAGTGCAAAAGCTGCCAGATATTTGTTAATATATTCATAAATAATGGAAATATACTGTAAAAATAGAATGCATAGCTCAGCCCTGCTTTATCTCTCTGTAATTGTCTTACATAACTGTTTGGTTGTATAATTTATGTAACATTGGACCATATAATCTCACATTCCTTCATTGCAAATAGATCATCATCAAAAAAAAGGTCTGTAATTATTGGCACCCTTAGTAAAGATGGATACAATGTCATAAAAATATCACTGGCACACTTGGAAATTCCTATAAAGAAAACACAGCTGAAATATTTTCCATTTATATTTAAGTATTTGTGTTCAGGAACTCTTAAGCAGTTATCCATGACTTCCTGTTTTAATGGGATATAAATATGAGGTGAGACAGAGGCCAAATTCTCTATTCATTAATTAACACGAGAAAGATTAGAGAATACTCAGCTGATGTGAGACAGAAGTGTTTTGAGCTTTATAAATCAGGTATTGGATATAAATAAGGAGCTGCATGTTGAGGTGATACATATGAAGTTTCAAACAACCGGAGTTGTAGTGAGTCTGTCTGAAATGGGACTCAAGTGTATTTTTGCCTCCACACACAGTGAGGAGGATAGTTAGAGAGACAAAAATGTCTCTATGTTTACAGAAGATAGTAGCATTTTGGGGTCACTAAGTGGAAGCCAAGTCCATGCCAGTAAACTTTGGAAAGCGTGCCAGAAAAAAAGCTGCTTCTTTCATTTAACCAAAAATGAAAGCAGCTAAAGTTTGCTGGACAGTACTTGCACTGGGTTCTGTGGTCAACAAACACCGAAGATGGGTTTGGTATAAAAAGGATGATACAGAAACTCAGTCTCCACTCTTAAACATGGTGGAGGGTCTGTGATGTTTGGGCCTGTCTTGGGAATCTTGGTAGGTTGCATGGTGTCATGGAATCCATGGAGTGCCAGGAGATTTTACATGAAAATGCTGCCTCTGCCAAAAAGCTAGAACTCATGGTTGGACCTTCCAACAGGATAATGATTCAAAACATGCATCTAAATCCACACAAGTGACTACAGAATCAAGCTTCTGACATGGCCACCCCAGTCCTCTGAGCTAAACCCCATTGAAGACCTATGGGGTGAGCTGAAGAAGAGAGTCAGTGGAGGACCTGGAGAGATTCTGTATGGTGCAATCTCAGATTTCTTGGTCTGTATTCTCTCAAAAAGCATTATAGGAGACGAGTCATTGCTGTTATGTTGGCAAAGGGAAGCTGCCCAAATCGCAAATTACAGGACTGCAAATAACTGACACATGTGGTATATAATATTTTTGTTTCTCAGACTAAATTTACTTCAATAAAAAGTTAGATTTCTCTTGGTGTGAGACTGAGCTTATTAATTACAATGACATATTTATGATTTTTTTTTTTCCCTTGTTAACAAGGGTGCTAATAATTATGGAGCTGAGTTTATATTGTAACCTTTCAGTACATTGCCCAGCCTTTCTCCCTCTCTCCCACAGATGTGACGAGGATGTGAATGAGTGCGAGAGGGAGGAGTGTGAAAACGGTGGTGCGTGCGTTAACACGTTCGGCGCCTTCTACTGCAACTGCACAACTGGCTTTGAGGGCCAGTTCTGCGGGCAGCCGTCATCCCGGGACAGCTCAGACCTGCAGGCGGAGGCGCTGTCCTACGTCGGGCCGGGGGAAATCATCGGCATCGGGGTGCTGCTGTTCGTGGTGCTGGTGCTGCTCACTCTGCTGGCTGCTTTCCGCAAGAAGGTGCTGCGTAAGGACTGGGCCAGAGCTGAGGCCGTGGGCATCTCCACAGAAACGGGCTACAAGGGCACCGAGGGCATCGAGTTCAAAGCGGTGCGGGTCAGCAGCGCCGGTCTCTATGGCAGCGACGGCACTGGAGGGCCCCCGCAGGTCATGGTGCGCCCTACGGCCTACACTCTGCCCCGTTGCCAGGGAAACCCCGGAGATAAAGCGGAAGGGACCGGGGTCCTGGCCACTTTGTCCTGTCCGCCCCAGTTGAGCACCTTCGGGACGGATGGGTCGCACATCCTAGGGGTCCCTCGGAGGGGCGTGGCGGTGTGCAGCGTGGCGCCAAATCTGCCCTCATCGTTGCCAGCCCGCCCTGCAGATCGCAGCCCTATTCGCAAACCCCCCTGGGAAGAGGAAGAGGACGATGAGGATGATGAAGATGATAATGATGAAAACGATAATGCAGAGCGGGAGGCCCGGCTTCTGGACTGGGAAGATAGAGGCTATCAGGCAGATGGAGAGGAAATGGACAGGGCGCAAGGTAACAGCTTGAAAACACACGCGCACACAACACACATGTGCACTCGTCTCAGATAAAGCAGATGCTGCGATAAAACACAGAGGGTGTGTTTTTTTTTTTTTCTATGACTCACAAAAGGGCCTCTATAATTCCCCAAGGCCAATTTAGCTGCCATTTATATGCAAGGAATTACGTATATTGTTCCCCATTTTCTGAATGTTACCGCACGCTAATGTAAATAGACCGAAATTACCTTGGCGCCGACGAACGGTGACTGAAAGGCTTTATTCCAAGTGCAAGTAATAAAGGAGAGAAGGCTTTTAGCATCGAACCCCACTCCTGTATGTGACACTTAAACAGCACAGATACATTATGGACCACTAAAAGTATCGGAAATGCACCTGAATCATGTGGAGCTGGAGTGAACATACATCATAGCCTAAAGCCTGAAGTACTATTTGGGGTTAGTTTTACATAGTGAGGTTTGCGGTAATGTACTTTTTTTTTCCAGAGTGTCTGTAAAGTTCATGACCGATTTGCACGTGACAAGAAATCTGACTATAATCTACAGAATTGAGAAGGGCTACTCACTGTGCATTGCTGTCACAGCAAATGTTTCAGCGTCACTTCATTTGAATTGTCCACTTTAGTCCCCTATAGATTATCTACAGATGTTCAAGTTGTTATCAACCTGTCTGTTGAAACTCAGTTGACTCTAAACAGTGGTGGGCTTAGGGTTAGGATTTGGACCAGGGTGAGGGTTGGGTTTAGGTTTTGGGTTGAGGTTAAGGTCAGGGTTAGGTTTAGAGTTCAAGAAAATTATGGCCAATTTAGTAGATATTTAGTTGAATGTAACTTTAAAGTATCTACAAAGCATCTAAAGTGGACTGTTCATATAAAGTGTTACCAAAGTTTCATACGCAAAATGTTCAGCTGCTCACAAGTAGAAAATGTTTCATTTAATTTGCTTAACTTAAATATCTACCTAGCTGTTGCATTGTCATTAGCATAGGAATTCACAGCCAACAATCATCACTTCATAAAATCAAAATGTTCAATTGCGCAATTCAAGGGGAATTCCACTGATTTTCTCCATAATGAATCAAATTAATGACATTTTTCAAACATAAACAAAGTCATTCAAAGTGATTTATGTGAAATGCTTCTAGAGAAACTTACCAAGTCAGAATTGTTCACAATGCTTGTGATAAGAACTAGATGACTAGTGTTTAATACCTCCCTCACGTAAATAAAATACCTCCCTCACAGAAAGTTATTACACAAAATGGTTACAAATACACTTCCTGATGCCCAAGACATACTTGTATGATAGTTCTGAGATAAGCTTTTGATCTAAAACATATTTTTATTTATTCATGGTGGAGAGATACATGCAGGAGGTTGTAAGGCATAATGATTTACCCCTATTCTAACATTATCAACGTTACTTAAGGAAACTCAGAACACATGTTTAGGTTCACTCTTTCGTTTTGGATAGTAAATAAAATGCCTATATTTGTGTTGTAGACATTGAGACCCTTGGTTCCCATCACCACCGCTGTAAAGAAGTCAGTAAGTTTCTGTACAATGAATCATTTCACATTAGTAATAAATAAGCTACATGGTGGACAGTTCTAAAATCACTAAGACAACATCACACAACAACAGTATCCAAGTCCACCTTACCCCAAGACCGTGACAAGTCCTGGTCCAAATGAGGTTGAGACCAAGAAGAGATCGGGACCACTCGTTTATGGTCTTGAGGTCAAGACCGGACTCAATTACTTTAACAATACTAGTTTGTATTAGTTATTAAAGGAGTCCTAAAGACTTGGCCAGAAACTAAGTGTGCAAAGCTGCCCAAAGGTAGTCAAACAGCCAAGACTCGTTTGCAGTCTGCAGTTTAGTTTTGCACTGGTGCTATGATGCTAATGTAGCTAACAAGTAAAGGAAGCTGTACCCAGTTAGCATCATGCAAACTACATGCCTGAATCATCACAGACTTAACCAGGCAAGTCTATTTGAGTTACTTCACTCTGTGTGGTTTGAGGCGAGTGTGTGATGATTTAGTTATGCAGTTTTCACAGTATTTCACTAGTTGTTGGGGACTTCCATTGCTAGCTACATTTAGCCTTGTAGCTCCAATGAAAAGCTAAAGAACAGCTCCAGACACTAAGCATGTCTCGGCTGATCTGCTACACTGGGGATTTAAAAGGGGGGTATGTACATTTTTGGCCGAACTGTCACTTTTAGATTATTAACCGAATAATAAGCTGAGTGTTTAAACGGTTAAACGCATAACATTTAAACAAAATCAGCAGCGTTGACTAGTTTTAAACGAACGAGCTGTTGCTTTATGATTTCATATCCTATGTTCTTGTTTTGTCACTGCTTTTTACGGCAGAGAAATTGCCTTCCTCTTCAGAATTGACCAGAGGCTTGTAAATTGTTTTGCAACAAAGCAGATTATAGTAATCAAAGCCATCTGCCACGGTGCTTGTGGTGACGCTAGAAATAGTCCAAAAGAGAGTCGTTTCCGTCCATATGAAATATTGACAAGCCCTTTCCAGGTAGACAGCAGCGTGACAGGACAAGTGCCCGGGCTGAGTCGAGGCTTTTTTTAAGGTTTATTTAGCAAGGTACAAACTTTAAGGTCAGAAAATGTTTTTGAGGTGAAGCACTTTTAAGTATCAGGATCAGGGACTGGCCAAATTATAAGTGTTTAATTGCCTGTTAGTATCTTTGCTTTACACAAGATTAGAAATATAGCACAAGCTAACAGTGTCAGTAAAACATCTGTTTCTCAGCCATCTTCCTGTCTCATCCACACACTCACACAGCAAGTGTGTACACACAGTTTGTGGGCATAAAAAATATCTTCTAGTGATGCCTGCTTCAGTATTAAACCGATAGGAGTTCAGTTTGCAAATTAAAGAACCCATACCTTGGAAAACTTTTTCTCACCAAATTTTTCTCACTTTTTTTGAAATAAGAGTCTGAAAACATTTTCTATGAATGTCACCTTTGTAAGCATCTATAAACACATTCATAACATGTTATAATGCATTCATAAGACATTATAAACATGGCTATAAATATTTATAAAAATGCATTATATGTTATAGCCATGTTTATTATGCATTATGAATTGTTAACATAATACATTATAAGTACTGATCATAACAAATTATAAGAGCTCATAAGTTGTATTTGTCCGCTCTAAGTAAAGTGAAGCGTACTGTACTAAAGCCTCCTCCAGTGTTAAGAGTGAGGCTTCAAGTTGAAGTATTTACTGAAGGATTTACTGAAACACTAAAACATTCACAGTAAAGCACATTACAGGCTTCAAATGTCAGAGTTTAAACTAGAGCTGCCATCAGTGTTTTACCCAATGTGGGAAAGGTAATGTTCACCACCGTTAGCTTGGTATTTGTCTTTACTTTACGCTCTCCAAGCTGGGACTGACTTCTTTGGCACTGACATTATAACATGCTATTAACACTATTTATAATGCATTATATTAACAATTCATAATGTATAATAAACATGGCTATAAAGTGTAATTCAGTGTAATTCTTTTTTATAAATATTTATAACCATGTTTATAACGCCTTATGAATACATTCTAACATGTTATAAATGTGTTTATAGATGCTTACAAATGTGACATTCATAGAAAGTGTTTGCGAAATTTCTTCTTAAAACCCACTTATGTAAATTCTGACATTCACCAGTGTTTTCTTATTTGGGATTTGTTCTTAGGTAGAAACAGAATCTACACACGCTCATGAACACAGGCTGTGTCCCAATTCAGGGCCTGCATCCTTCGGAGGCTGCGTTTGAAGGCCGTTTGCGCGACTAGGCTGTCCCATTTCGAAGGCTCCTTCATATGCGATCGAGAAATGTGTCCTTTTTTTTTCATGGCAACGAAGGATCCACCAAGTGGATCCATCACCAGCCAGCATATCCCGAGGTTCATTGCGTGCTGGTGAGGACTCTAGAACACAGAAGTGGCAGCAGAGGAGTGAACATCGGCTGAGGAGACACTTTTAAATGGGTTTAAACTGAGTCGAATAGCTAATAATACAAATGTTAAAAAAGCCCATGTGGTCTGAAGCAAAACTTACACTAATGTGCCGGCGCCGGTGGTGAAGCATCACCAGCTCTAATAAATGAAAAAAAAAACTAAAATCAAAGTTTCTTTGAAGAACTTTAAAAGAACTTGACAGGAGTGGCGTTTCTTAAAGCAGTGGTAAGAGCAGGAACAGCGGTGCTGTGATGCAAACAGGAAATCCGCCGTAGAGCAGACGGCCTCATTTCGGTTCAGCCTTTGCGGGTCTACGCGGCCTTTAAAGGACACGCCTTCATAGACCACATCATTCAAAGGATGCAGCCCTTGAATTGGGACACAGCTATAGACTTTTTATTAGGACCTTTCTCAAGAACAAATTTAAGAAGAAACTTCGGAATATATTGGCGAATGAGGCCCATTGTCCATTCCATCTACCATATAGGTGCACTTTGTAATTGTTCATCAATGTACCCCACAGGACCACCACAAAGCAGGTATTAATTGGCTGGTGGTGACATGTTTTTAAACAACTCATTGTCACTGCTGGACTGAGATTAGTCCACCAAACAAAAATATCCAGTGAAAAACATGCTTTGGCTAGAAACTGACCACTAATGATGGACTAGACGATGATAGACACATTGCACTACATTGCGTAGCAGATGCAGATAAACTACATAGAACATTAAGCTCATAAAAGAACATAACATTAAGCTCAAGCTCATTACGTTTGGCATCAGCTTCCTAGAGGTCAGTCTGACTGCCTCTCTCGGCGTACATTTATTGCCGCATGTCATCTACAGGTTTTTGTGGTCTTGTAAGTAACACTGCTGTCTCTGATACACTCATATCAGCTCAACACACACTAACACACCACCGCCACATCATTGTACTGCAGTAATACCTGCTCTGTTGTGGTCCTGTGGGGTCTGCACCACTGAAGAACAGGGTGAAAGGTGGCTAACGAATTATACAGAGAAACAGACGGACTACAGTCTGTAGTTAAAGGACTACAAGGTGCACCTATATGGTAAGTGGAGCCGATAAAATGGACAGTCAGTGTAGAAAGAAGGAACCTAAAAATCAAACAAATAGCAAAAATGTTAAGGATGTTATTGTCTTTTGGCAAAACAAGGCTGTATGCAGAACAGGAACTTTGTAATATGTATTTTAAATTTGGTAAACACAAATGTGGTATAGATTAAAACTGTAGAATCCACACCTTTGGTGGAATTTCTCAGCTTGTTTCAATGACCTATGAGTGAGAAATAACAATAACATTATTTTGTTATTGCCCACAGCAACTTCTAAGACTGGCTTCACACAGGAACACTTTCATGGAACATTAGTGGTGATGTTATTTACATAATTGCACCTTTTTCATCATCTTTTTTTTTTTGTCGCTGCTGCTCTTTTTTCCTGTGTCTATTTACACCGATCAGTCATAACATTAGAACCACCTCCTTGTTTCTACGCTCATTGTCCATCTTATCAGCTCCACTTACTATATAGGTGCACTTTGTAGTTCTACAATTACAGACTGTAGTCCATCTGTTTCTCTGCATACTTCGGTACCCTGTTCTTCAATTGTCAGGACCCCATGGACCCTCACAGAGCAGTGCTGAGAATGATCCACCATCCAAATTATACCTTTTTTGTGGTGGTCCTGTGGGGGTCCAGTGAACTCACCACATTATTGCAGTTTTGACTAGCAGTTTAATAAACCTGCTTCACAGAGTTTGCAGCTGTTGTTGCTGAGTTTCGAATGAGTTGCGGGATGTTTTACATTATGCAAGTGCAATTTAGTTTCATGTAGGTTTCAAACAAAGAAAGTTTGAAAGTTTTGCTGTGTAAATCCAGCCTAAAGTTTAACACAGTAAGGGCTATTAGGTTTCATATACATTTATTTGTGTGGGTAACCTGTTTTCCACTCCTCTGTAGAACGCATCAGCTCTGTGGAGGAGGCCACCTGTTTTTCAGACAGCAGTACCAGCGAGGCTCACACAGATTCTGTCAGATCCGACTCCTGCGACGACAATGGTGAGGCCTGCAGGCTACATGAACTAACCACCCACCCCCTACAATGCTCACGACCCAAACCAGCTCCCACCTGCTCCAGCACTCTACCTCCATATGGGAAGCAGTAGCTCAGTGGGCGGAAAGCTCAGCCATGAACAAGAGAACATGTTCACAGTGGAACAAGGCACACTTGCCTCAAGCCATGTCAGGTTGTTTAAGGGGAATTCCACCATTTTATTATCCAAATTTCTGCATAATTTAATGGTTGAGATGACAAAGTCTCTGAAGTTGAGACAAATTCATTTAGAGTGGTCTGATGTGAAGTGGTTCACTGTAGAGAAACATACCGGCAGCAAATACAGGGTGATTCAAAAAGATTCATCTGATTTCAAAATGGTTTATTTCACTTGTAAATCATTACAGATCAATGCAGTAAACTGTAAATGGTTTAAATGAGCATAAAGTTTCTTATGTAATTGTACAAGTGCTCAGTATGAACCTCCTCCAGCTGTACAGACATCAACGCCACAGTCAAATTCATCCCATACTGGATTGAGCATGTCGGGTGTCTCTGTAGTCACGGCTCTTTCAGTGCGATTTTGGAGATCATCCAGTGTTGTGGAACCAACGACGAACGCTCTGAGCTGTTGGAGGTTCGCTGCCCACAAAAATCACGCTGCAGTTATGACGGATTCTCTCTTATTGAAGTGGAGAACGCAGAACGCTTTCTGCTCAGGGGTCGCATCTCCTCACAGACTGAAGCGAGCCATCTGCCGGTGAAAGTCTATGACCCACTCTTTCAATTGGATTGTGATTGGTTCCTAGGTGCCTCACGGTTGTAAGAATATGGCGCCTTGAAATCGGATGAATCTTTTTTGAATCACCCTGTAATTAAAAAAGCAAGTTTTTTTGTTAAATACATACAGAATTGGAGTTGAATCCAAAATTTCTGTAATCTAACAGGCTAAAATCCCCTCCTCAGTCAGAACAGATGGTTCTCTCTCTTTCTTACACATACATTAAAATTGTCCAGTGCTGTTTGTAATTTTCTGTAAACTTACAGCAAAACAAGTCATTTGCAAATGTTGCTAGTGCATGCACAGAGATTTTGGCCTTTGAACAAGTGTGGATTTACTTGTCCATAATGACCCATAAGTCCGCAGACAAGCTTAATGTCAAGCCTGGAATCCATATCGCCAATTTACATCTGTAAAGTAGCAGCTAAATGGCATAATCAATACTGTTATTAACTTACTCCTTGTTGCCAAGTGTTCAGATAAACACATTATTACACACTACACTGTACATAAACACTGTCATTTAGTGTTTTTGGAGAGCGGAGCTGGTTGAGCACATGCCAAACTCACTGTTCTCCTTCACAGCAGCCTGGTCCGTTATTTATCTCCATATGGGCTTATTTTTCATTCACATAATTTCCATCATAACGAGGAGAGTCGTGTTGATGGCCAGAGTGATCCATTTTGCATTTTCACAGCCAATCACACGGCTTTCCATTATATAAATCATGTCAACCCGCTGCGGTTCTCCATGAGGTGGCGAGCTAATTTATGAAATGTGTTCGCTTAAGAGATTTATTACTGTAATTATTTTATTTATGGAAATAGTCTGCTGACAGGATGGGTGGGTGGGCAGCTGTGTTTTCTGTGTTCGTCAGGTTTATGCAATGCTAGGGTTGACCTGTTTGTTGACTTTGTTTACTTGTTTACTTGCTGGTGGGGATTGAGAGATAGTCATCAGAAGTTTGAGTCACAGTGGCCACTTCCCCCCAGAGGGACGTGCTGGTCGATGTACTAATAAGCTCACACAGGAATCTGCAGTGCTACTCTTTTGGACACATCTGCCAAAATCATCCTATGATAACAGTTCATTCATGCACATGCCTCAAACCTATTGATAGAGAAGTAGTCCACCAGTGAAGCTTATAAGTAATGCAAAGCATATTTTAAAGGAATATTCCAGTATTTTGCAAACTAATCTCTATCTGCTGCGTCTTTTATGTATGGTCGATTACCACAGACAATGATTTTGAAGCCGTTTTGCATATTTACACCGATCAGGCATGACATTATGACCACCTCCTTGTTTCTATGCTCATTGTCCATTTTATCAGCTCCACTTACTATATAGGAGCACTTTGTAGTTCTACAGTTACAGACTGTAGTCCATCTGTTTCTCTGCATACTTTGTTAGCCCCCTTTTACCCTGTTCTTCAGTGGTCAGGACCCCCTTGGACCCTCACAGAGCAGGTCCTATTTGGGTGGTGGATCATTCTCAGCACTGCAGTAACACTGACATGGTGGTGGTGTGTTAGTGTGTGTTGCGCTGGTCTGAGTGGATCAGCCACAGCAGTGCTGCTGGAGTTTTTAAACACCTCAGTGTCACTGCTGGACTGAGAATAGTCCACCAGCAAAAATATCCAGCCAACAGCGCCCTGTGGGCAGCGTCCTGTGACCACTGATGAAGGACTAGAGGATGACCAACACATCTACACTTTACATCTACAAGGTGGACTGACAAGGTAGGAGTGTCTAATAGAGTGGACAGTGAGTGGACACAGTGTTTAAAAACTCTAGTGTCAGTGTTACTGCAGTGCTGAGAATGATCCACCACCCAAATAGTACCTGCTCTGTGAGGGTCCATGGGGGTCCTGACCACTACAAAGTGCACCTATATAGTAAGTGGAACAGATAAAATGGACAATGAGTGTAGAAACAAGGAGGTGGTCATAATATTATGCCCAATCAGTGTAAATAAAAGCTGAAAACCTGTTTGCTCAAAACTAATTTAAACAGAAGTCATAGAGTTGCTGAATTTTGTGAATAATGTCTGAAATACATGACCTGAGAGAATGTCCAACCAAAACTGCTCTTATGAAATTTACTCCAACACTAGGGCAGCACAATAAAAAAAGTAGTCCCTTCCACAAGGTTATCCAGTGTCTATGCACAAATAGGCCTATGAAAACTCCACCTACATCACTAGGCTGGTAATATATTACTATAGATACTCCTCTCTAGAAAAAGAGTCTCATCTCTGAAAGAATTAATTGAACAGATTAACAGCTTAATCTCTTAAACCCTATATGACCTGCCACAAATATTACATAATCGACTAATCACAATTATTTGAGACGGTCGCAATTATTTAAGATGACCACAGTAATTTTCCACAGTTGTTAGCCTTTAATGTCACAGGTCTTAAAAAAACTTCAGATTTTTACACCTTTAGACTGTTTGTTAGTATTATCTTTAGAGGGCAGTGGTCAGTAATGTTTTTGTTCAATACCAGGGGTTGCAACTCAGGTGTTAAGAAGAGCCATTTTGTCATTTCAACAAAAATCCAACCATCTTGGGAGCCACATTTTATGTCCATTTTAACGTCTTGGCTGTAAATATGTCTCAGTATGTGCTAAAGTACTAGTATAGGCTAAAAATATAATACAAACAAAAACACAGACTTGGCTCTGCTTTAAGCTTTAGCTCAGCTATAGCTACTTCTCTCACATCTCCAGCAGGAAACTTTTCCACAAACGTTGAATAGTTTCTTGTAAGATGTCTCTCAACGTTAGATTTTTACGAGGCTGAAGTCACTTCTCATTCCCCAGCTTCTTGTTTGAATTTTCCCGTTCCACCTTAAATGTTGCCTGAGGCTCCAGAATGTAACTGCGGTACCATTTAAGGTAGAACGGGAAAGTTCGAATGAGAAACTGACTTCATCTTCACTTCAGTGTTTGACAGTTTCTTGTTGCAGGTCAAACATCTTAAATCTTTCTCTTTGCCTTTTAGTTAGCTGCTGGCGAGACTGTTGTCTGTGTTGCTATGTGACCAGCAGACTGCGCACTTTATTTTACTGCAACAGAGGATTATTTTATTTTTACCTAAAAATCTAATTCTGCTGTGGAGCTGCAACAGGGCAGTAAAAGAGCCGCATGATGCCGACCTCTGGTTAACACCTTTAGAGAGCAACTGTGAAAGATGTTTGTGTATCTCAACTCGAGCTGTATCTGTTGCCAGTTGGGAGCTTGTATTGACAGCTAGGAAGTAAAATAGCTCATCAGTCAGTTTGACCTCTTTAGGCTTGTACTTTATAGTTGCATACAGTGAGCAAATAAAATTGTTAATTACAATGAATTACATGCCAGTTAATCAGCTACAATTTCATGACTGTGACTTGCCTACTTTGTCTTTTATTACATCCTAAGGACTATTTTTCAAATATTTCATAGATAGCAATGCAAACCTTCAGAGTTATTCTTAAGTTACAGAATTGAGAAATGCAAGTCTGTCTGGTTGGGCACAAGAGGTTAATTTCCAAATATCTTTGACTGACGATTTCATGAAAGTGTCCAAAATGTATGATTTGAATTAGGGATGCAAATTTTCAAAATTCAGATTACGGATCATACATGGAGTAGCAGAAAGTAACACAGTGGAAATGCTCGGTACACACATGGAATGGCGATACTTCGCAAAGTAACTAAAATTGGTATATAAGTTTGCGCTTTAGCTAACAAACACATGAAATGAGGAACAGGTGTGGGTGATTAGAAGTCAGGCAATCTTGAACAGGGATAGGTGGATTTCTGGGAGTCCTGTGTCACATCCTGCAGTGAGGGATTCTGGGAAACGTAGTCCTGAGTGGCAGGGTTGGCTATAGGCTCAGCCAGGTCTGAAGAATGCGTGACACTGATAACCGACCGTTATTAGTGGGAGATTAATCGTTGACCGACAAACCTAAAATTATGGACACCACCTATCAAATACAACATTACTCCATTTATATGAACAAGGCTTTTGGCTTTCTTGATTGACAGCCTAATGCAACAGATATGATAGTAACATAATGTAGTCTACTTATTTACGTCCACCACATATTGTTAGCCTACATTAACGAACATGTAGCCAGACCAGGGCAAGCTCAAAATTCATATGCAGTGTGTGAACCAGTGTTTCCCAACTGTGGTCCTTGAGGCACACTGCCCTGCACAACTTTGTTTTGCCTGCTTCCACATTTCAACTCAGTAAGGGCTCGTTAATGAGCTGATTAGTTGGATCAGGTGTGTTGGGAGCAGGGGAGACACTAAAATGTGCAGGACAGTGTGGGTCCAGTACTCAGGTTGGCCAACACAGGTTTGAGCAACTATCATAAAGTTGGTAGCTGACAGACTTTTTTTTTGTCATTGCTAAACACATTTGTAGGCTAAAGCTCAAGGCTAAATGTGGCTAAATATCCTGATTGCTGTAAACTACCTTTAGGGCAGTATAGTCTATGTTATATCTCTTTGACAATGGCTCTAATGCTTTGGTTTAAACTAAGTGGACTAGAGGAGTCGACTCTAAAGACTCCGGCAGTAAGAGCTGAGAGTCAGAGTCTCACTAAGTAGCACTACCAGAACAAGTTGCTCCCTCATGCATGCAACTCTAAAATGGTCCTCAAGTTGAAAGAAAAACCCACCTTTTCAAATGTCGGTTGTTTAACGGAAATAATATAAACCTTTTTAAGCATTGATTGAACATTTATGTTTTTGTCGGTTAACAGTTGATCAGTTAATCATTATCATAAACTCTCAGAAATAAAGGTAGTAAACTGTCACTGGGTCACTGGGGCAGTGCCCCTCTTATCACTGGGGTGGTTCCCTCAAGGGTCCATCTCAGTACCTTTAGTCAGGGAACATAACTGAACCATAATCCACTGAAATTATATGTTCTAAGCTGTACTGACTCCACACACCCCGTCTCGCCTCCAGGCTTTTATTTTACTGTTCTGATTTAAATCATTCGGTTATGAAAAGGTACAAATACGAACTTTTCAGCTGGAAAAACGTATTTAAGGTTCACAATCAGACCTTAAAACCACTGATGTACCTTTTGAGGCAACATTTACATTGTTTTTAACCTTGATGAACAAAAAACGTACCTGCACAGAACCTTTATTGTCCCAAATTCGCAAAAATGTTTATTGATGAAATTCAGTAGCTGCCCAGTGGCTTCTATGTTTAGTATGTGTTTTAGTGTAAAGGTTTTCTGTTCTTTTCTAAGCACAAGGAAACGCCTCAAAATGATTGTCTGGGTCAATTGACTGCACGCTACAGATATGGCAGATAGAGCTTAGGCTGAAAAACACTGGAGTTTTCCTTTAACTGCTTTCACTAAGACACTGTCTATGCTCTAATCAGAGCACTGTTAACTACGGTTCAGTTAAGGATCGGAAGGAATTTAAGGCTGTGATGTGCTCTGCTGAATTTCTTCACTGAGCCGTTAAAACGTCGTGCTCATTAGCACTGGTGCTCGTCCCAAAAACCGCCAGCCTACAGCACAGAGCACAAGCATACCCCCACTCAGACACCCACATAATACAATTAGTGTCTTAGTCATAGCGAACTAATTATGCCATTCACCTAATAAAGATGGCTTAAGTGTATGAGCTTTCCCAGGGACAACTGGAGGATTAGTGATAACACAGCTTTTGAGAAAAAAAGAGAAGAAGGCAGTCAGAGAGGGCCAGAATGGGTCAAAACAGTAATTACGCTCTTTGATTTGGCGCATGGCATTATCCTCTCAAAATATGATTGCCGCCATGACTCAGCGTGGAAACTGCGTTCACGTAAAACAAAACAGTCGAACAGATTTGAAGCACTTCTTAATTTTCCACTTGTTTTATTTGTTTAAACGGGTTTCATAACATCGGTGTGTTACGGACAGACGGCTGGTTTCCTGTGAATCACAATGGAAAGGTCAACTCGGCTGTTTGACAAATACACTCAAGTGTAATAATTCAGCCCTTTGTTGCCTGACGCTGTGCCATCCTTTGCTTTGCCCTCAAATTAGCCTCCATCGTGACGGTCATCCGGCTGGTCAACGACGCAGTGGACAGCATCGAAAATGAAGGTATGACGCGGGCTGCATTGTGAAGGCGCTGACTTCATTCTAAAGGGAGGGCAAAACACCTGCTGTGCCTGAAAGCTACTTTCAAACTCCTGACGTTGTCCTCAAGGATATGTTTTTGGCAGTGTGCCTATAATGTGAACTGACTGCACTCTGTAGGTGCCACAAAGAATTCTTCGCGTGATGCCGTAAAAGAACAGCTTTTGGTTTTCCATTTCGAAAAAGAGGTGTGTTTAGAGAACATTCAGATAATGTAGTCAGGACAAAGTTTATTTGTAGAGCACTTTTTTGTAACAGGTGTTGTCACAAAGCAGTTTTCAGAAAAATCTGGGTCTGAGCCCCTCATGAGCGCCGTACGGAGCCCCTAAGGGGCCGTGGCTAAAAAAAAAAATTAATGACAATGTATTCACTCGCAAAGGTTTTGTGTTCCCTTGCAAATATTCTGCATTGCGATGCAACAGTTTGCGTTCACTTGCAAAAGCTGTGCTTTGCTTAAGCTCAGACATGAAGCAGCTCATTCAATTTTATGTTGATCTTGGATTGAAATATAAAGACATAGTGTCGCTTCTCAAAATCAAACATGATTCTGTTATTAGTGACACAAACTGAAACTGAGGTCGAGTGTCCTCGTACAGTAAAAGCTACATTTACAGAGACTGCAGAGAACAACTCTGAATAAACTCAGCAAACTGGGAAAACGGCTTTTAACGTTAGCTATGCTGAAAACCAAGCTCTAATGTAGGCAGTGTTGTTGGGCACCTCTGGTCCTACATTTGCTTGCTGTCTGACGAGCATATATTTTGTGAAAAAATTCAAAACATTTGCGAGGGAATGCAATGTCATTAACTTTCTTGGTAACACTTTCTATGAATGTCACCTTTATAAACACATTTATAACATGTTATAATGTATTCATAAGGCATTATAAACATGGAAAAGAATGACACTGAATTACACTTTATAGACATGTTTATTATACATTATGAATTGTTAATATAATGCATTATAAATAGTGTTAATAACATGTTATAATGTCAGTGCCAAAGAAGTCAGTCCCAGCTTGGAGAGCGTAAAGTAAAGACAAATACCAAGCTAACGGTGGTGTACATTACCTTTCCCACATTGGGTAAAACACTGATGGCAGCTCTAGTTTAAACTCTGACATTTGAAGCCTGTAATGTGCTTTATTATGTATGTTTTAGTGTTTCAGTAAATCCTTAAGTAAATACTTCAACTTGAAGCCTCACTCTTAACACTGGAGGAGGCTTTAGTACAGTACGCTTCACTTTACTTAGAGTGGACAAATACAGCTTATGAGCTCTTATAATTTGTTATGAACAGTACTTATAATGTATTATGTTAACAATTCATAATGCATAATAAACATGGCTATAATGTATAATGCATTTTTATAAATATTTATAGCTATGTTTATAATGTCTTATGCATGCATTATAACATGTTATGAATGTGTTTATAGATGCTTACAAAGGTGACATTCATAGAAAGTGTTACCACTTTTTTTTTTTAACCACGGCTCCGTAGCATCATCAACGGTGACAGTAGCAAGAAAAACTCCCTAAGAGCAAGAGGAAGAAACCTTGAGAGGAACCAACACTCAAAAGGGGAACCCATCCTCCTCTGGTCGACTCCGGACAGCAAACAATAACAGCAGAGAGTGAGATTTGATCATTAGTATAACATACGGAAAAAGCAGGAGTAGCAATGTCTATGATTAAAAAATGCAGCAGCATCATCAGGAGGGTCAGTTCATGCAGGTGAGCTTTGTACAACGTTGCTCAGCAGGAAGCTCCATGAAGGTCAGACTGGTCCAGAAGGCTGGTGAGCAGTGGGCATCTGATCAAGGCAGATGAAGCAACAGTATCAGACCACACAGGACGGGCAGCTGTTCAACTCAGCAAAGAGACACACAGGCAGTTAGTTCTGTTAATAGAGACTGGTTACAGTATACAGTGTTAATGTAAAGGTTCTATACCAAACTAAGGGTTTTTCCTTCAAACTTTACATTATGTGGAGGTTCTTTAAACATTCTTCACACTCAGACATCTCCTTTAAAGAAATAATCCTCTAAAGAACCAACCATTGAAAGTTCTTTAGGGAAGCAAAGTTGGTTCTTCAATGGCAACATGCAAAGAACCCTTTGTGGCACCTTTTTTGTGTGTTTGCGTGTGAATCTGTGAGTGTGAATATTGACTGTCATATTGGCTGGACATGCAAAATGTACAATGCTATGCTGAAGTCAGAGACCCTTTCTTTTGTTTAATTTCCAGTCAAAATGTTCAAAATTTCAATTTTTGAGCAAAACCTGAAAGGATATTTTCCCAAAGTTCCCAAAGTACATTAAGTAATGTTGGTGTTTTGGACTCTGGGGTGGTCAGTCCATTGTTCTGGGAGCACCAACGGCTTCTTGGTTTGATAAATACATCTTGATATTCTCAGCTTTGAGACATTATCTTGCTGTAGAATGAATGTCTTCTCAATCATAAGTTTTCCAGAGGGTGCATGATGCATTAAAATGTGCTTGTTCTTATGAGAATTCATGAAACCTTCAGTCAAAAAGAAATCTCTCCAGAGGAGCTTAACCCTTATGTGGTGGTGATGTGTTTGTTACTCAGTGGTCTGCTGGACCCACCACAGTATTGTTTTTTAAATCAATACAGCGAAAACAATTTATGTAAAAATAACAGATGTTTAAAATATCACAAGTGTCCAGTGTAGGGTTCTCCTTTAGCAGCTATAGCCAGTCAGCAGCCTGTCCATGTTGTCCACCCTCACACACACATACAAACACACACACACACAGACACACACACACACAGACATACACTAACAGCAGGCCATGTAGGAGGAGAACAGAGTGAAGGACACAGCACCTCCACACTTTAATTCCCTACGGGTTCACCCAACACCACATGTGTAATATAAATGTGTGGGGGGTGAACAGAGTGAAGACACTGAAAATGGGTTATTTTATATGTTCTTCACAGAAAATGAGCAAAGGACAAGAATCTGATGATGAAATAATAATAAATCACATCATTTTTTCTTTTGGTAAACATTGAAAATGGGTCCCACAGACCTGAACACCACACAAGGGATAAACACCTCCAAACTTGCGCTAATCCTCCACCATGTTTGACTGATGGTAGACATGGTTCATGGAGTCTTTGTCTGCATACATACTGCCTTCTGTTACTTTCAAAGAGTACATATTTTTTCGTTCTTTGTCTATTTCCTTTTCTCAGAGAGGCTTCTTGACAGCTACACATCCTTTCAGACCCATAGTGTTGAGTTCACAGTGGAAGGTTGGACTTTTTCAGATCTGAAACAGGAGTGGAACTTCATTCCTTTTCTCACAGATAACAGCGATATGTACTGTTTATCTGATTGTGGCAGTTTTGGTGCTCTTCCATTTTCTCTGTATCTTTTAATAGATTTTCGAACTCCAGTTTTGGAAACTGCTGTTTTTTCAGTGATTTTCGTTTGACTTTCCTCTTCCTTATGCAAGTGGATTATCTTATATCTGATTTCCTCAGAAAGACTCCTTTGGCCATTTTAGATACTCATGAGAAGGAAATTGACTGCTGAGGTGTGTTTGTGTAGTTGCTTGTGTGAATGTTGGTGTCTGTTTGAAGGGGAACATGATTTCAGTGACTCCATTGGGAGCAGCTTTTGTTGGGAGGTCACAGCTGTAACTTGACAGGAAGGATGGAAGAGTTAAATTGGCAGTAGATACACAAAAGTAAAGAGTGGATAAAATAAATATTGATAGATTTTATATTATATTTGATATTTGATATTTTTTGTTATATAAATGTATTGTGGTAAAAAATGAATTACTTAATGGCTGTTTTGACTAGAAATTGAATTATGAAACGGTGGTCTCTGAATTTTGCATAGTACTGTACATTCTGCAGAACCTAGTAATAAAGTATATAACTTTAATGTACAGGGTGATTCAAAACGATTCATTCATTTTCAAAATGATTTATTTCACTTGTAAATCATTACAGAACAATGCAGTAAACTGTAAATGGTTTAAATCAGCATAAAGTTTATTAGGTAATTTTACGAGTGCTCAATATGAACCTCCTCCAGCTGTACAGACATCAACGCCATAGTCAAATTCATCCCATACTGGATTGAGCATGTCGGGTGTCGCTGCACTCACGGCTCTTTCAGTGCGATTTCGGAGATCATCCAGTGTTGTGGAACCAATGGCGAACGCTCTGAGCTGTTGGAGGTTCACTGCTGATGAAAATCACACTGCACAGATATGACTGACTCACTCTTATTGAAGTGGAGAACGCAGAACGCTTTCTGCTCAGGGGTCGCATCTCCTCCCAGACTGAAGGGAGCCATCTTCCACTGACAGTCAGAAACTCTATGACCCCCTCTTTCAATTGGATTGTGATTGGTTCCTAGGTGTCTCACGGTTGTAAAAATATGGCACTTTGAAATCAGATGAATCTTTTTTATTCACCCTGTATTTTAATGTAATCACATTTTATTCAAAGTAATGTTCTGTTAGCCAACTCATCATTAAATGATCACACAATGCAGTGGATGTTTTCAAATGGTGTGAAAAAAAATATCTGAAAAGTTAGAAGTTATGAGAGGTTAAGAGTTACAAGGTTTTGATATGCAATGACATATTTTGTGTGATTGCTATTATATTTTCAGCCCTGATATATGCTGTCTAATGAAAAGTGTATGGTTCATTCTAAAAGCTCTAATGTTGGTCAGATCAGAGCAAAGATTAACTTTCTTTTCTCTTTTGCAGTTGCAGTCCTGGATGAAGGACCAACATATAGTAGTACTTGTGAGTTAACTTTGAATTTACTACTTTATTTCTAGCCATTCCTGCTCTCATCTTTTATGTTCAAATACCCAGAAACATTCTCATTACATCTACGCATGCACATCTTATGTAACTGTCTTGTTTGTGTGAGATATTGCACACAATAACCAAATGCTTTTTTGCTCTATTTTCCCTTTTTATTTGACCTCTTAAACTGCAAGGTCCTGCATGTGTGCCCACGGTTCACTCTCATAACCACTTGACTTAGTTTCATAGTAGTCAGTGAATAATCATTTATGTTAATCACTGAACAAGCCTGCAGTTTAAGAGGTTTGTCATTTAATGACATGATAATGTAATCATATTTTATCTCCTCATCATCTAACCATTCCATCTGTGCGATGTTGTTCTTGTGTTTGTTTGCAGCCGCCCCCCATCTTCATCGTGAGGATCAAATATGCGTTGAATATGTCAAAGAATATTTTGTCAACTGTAAGGATCCCAACTCTAGCCTCAATCGTTCCCTCAAATCTTGAATGACTGGATCGAAGATGAAGGAATGGCACTCAGTATAGTTGTATTTGGAAAAACGAGAAATGTGTGCAGCCACAGTCGTTAAGCAGTAAGCAATTTAGACTCGCAAGCAATTTCTGTGTTTATCAAGTTTACTGTATATTCCCATCGATTCCTGAAGAACTTTCTGATGCCTCATTTTTCCAAATACAATTATTTTACCCTGTGAGCCAAAACAATAGGGGTTTCAATTCCAGTGCACAATAAAGAAACCAATCTTACGTTCTAGCTATGAATAAACGGATGGATGCAAACCCCCAACTCTTTGCTTTATTGCTTTTAAAAGTTCACAGCAGTGCTTCCTGCCACTTACTTGCTCTGAATTGACCCTTGCTGATTCTTTGATTTATATCTTTCCTTAAAATATAACACTGATGTGCTAATATTAATAAAAATGTATTTTTATTAATAAAAAAAAAACATGTTGCCCTTTACATTGTTTGTAAATTTCATGATGAATGGATCAAAGGAATCAACTCAAAATGACTTGAAAAAAAGTCTGGTTCCATTGACTTACATTAAAAGTAAAGTGTGTTTTTTCCTTCTCCTGTAAAGTCACCATTTTGGAGATATGAGGTTTTCTTCCGACAACAGCGATATAATGTGATCATCATTTAGCTGAGACATGTTTAATGATTGAAGTTAGCTTTTTTGTCTTGCAGTAGAGCTATAAGACTCTTGTTAAGCAATTTATAATGTCTGTCTGTCTATCCATCCATCCATCCATCCATCTATAGGGGGAAAAAAGCAGAAAACATTTAACCAAAAATGACAGAAGCCTCTAACACTTAGTATATTATCAATATCAGTATTTCAACAATCAATATCGGTATTTAATTTATCCACTCTATACTTTTCTGTACCCTACTTCCACTTTAACACTTCCATCCTTTCAATCTTAAAACCAATGAGTGACCGCCAACAAAAGCTTTTCCCGAAAATTTCACTGACATTGTTATACTTCATAAAGACCATCAAAACTGTCACCATCAGATAAACAATACTTAAAGCTTTCATATGTAAGACAGAGAAAATAAAGCTCCATTCTGGCTTCAGATCTAAAAAAAAATCCATGAGAGTTTAAGTTCATCCTTCCACTGTGAGAAGACAACTCAGTACTATGAGTCTGAAAGGGTGTGTAGCTGTCTAGAAGCCATTACTGAAAAAAGGAAATAGACAAAAAAGAAGAAAATCTGCAAATCAAACAAAGAAGCTCCTGCTCTTCTTAGAACAATAGACTGGCCAATCCAGAGTCCAGACCTCAACATCATTATATGTGTTTGGAATTAAGTGGATCACAATAAGCAGAAAATGCAACCAACTTCTAAGACTAAACTTGGGAGGTGTTTTGAAATATCCCTGCAGCGGCCAGGAAGCCATTACTGAGAATAATGCACAAGAAAACACAACCTAAGATGTGGAGTAAGGTTTTATTAACTGATGAGTCTAAATATGTAACAGGGATTATTTGGATTTTGCAAAGCGAAATGCAGCCAACGTTGACTGAACTTTGGGGGTTTGAAAAAATATCCCTCCAGATTTCTTTGAAAAACTGAAGGCAAGTTTAGAAGGCAAGAAAAGAAGCTGTAATAAGGGCAAAAGGTGAAAACAGTCATTTCTGAAAACTTGGTATCATAATTTGTTGTTGCGGCTTCTGAAGTAATTTTCTGTTAAGTATGTTTTCTGCTTTTTCCAGACGCTGAACAATGAATAACTGTAATGAATGTTTTGACTGGAAATTAAATAAATGAAAGGGTTTATTTAACTTTTGCACAGTACAAAACATGTCTTTGCTAATTAACTAAGTTTAGAAGGGAAATTGGGGTGTAAATTAGATTTTTTTGCAAAGCTGTTACTTCACCATCACTTTACTGGCACAAGTTTGTCACATGTTGCATAGTAGCGCACCTCTGTCTACTCTCTAAGCTACTTCATATGTTTTGCAACATGTTTCCGAGAGTGAATGTTTCATGAGTTGGGAAGGTCATGCTTAATCAATGTTTTGATCACATCTGGCTGAACAGTCTGTTCCTGTCCCACAGCTTACCACTGGGAGACGGCAGAGTGGCTTCCTGACACCTGCCTGCCAGGTTTGGAATCCGAAGAGGCCCGAGACCTCTCTCCTACCCCTCCCCCTCCGCCTCTTCCTGCCCCTCCACCCCCCCTCACTCTCACCCCCAGTCGGCTGGGCGGCAGCGTCCGTTTCGGGGCCAGCGCGCGCCCCCTACAGACGGGCTACCCGCTGAGAAGGTATGAAGGCCAGAGAGACTTCTACTCGTCACTGTCCCGGGACGAGTGTTCCTCCCCGGTGTATGAGGAGTACCGAGACGACGAGGGCCATTATGACAGGCTTCCTGTCGCACGGCCCCCCTACAGGGGCTACAGCGAGGGTCGGGCCAGCCCGTCCTGCTACCACTCGGGCCACAACCAGCCTCCATCACACCCCCCTCTGCTGGCCTGGGAAGAGAGGCCGCGGATCTGGGAGGATTCGCACCCCTTCGGCAGCCAGAAGGAAATTAGCAGACTTTCAGACAGGCACTCACTGCGGGCCCGGCACCAGCGCGCTAACCAGAGCAGCCCATTCAGGTCACTATCAGCAATGAGTCAGTATGAACACTACTAGCTCTACTAGACTTGAGACTATATATGGGGACGGCCATGCTGTACGCTTCTGACTGCTTTTGCTTAAAGCTGCCATCATCACTGTGCCATTGTTGTTCTGCTGCCATACATGGAACTGTAAATAGAAATGGACAATATGATGCATGGCGGCATGGCCCCTATAACGGTAAGATAAGAAGTACAGTTAAAGTTAAATCACGGTATATACTACTGCCTATGTATTGATATGTATTGCCTCATAATTCAAGCCTCCGGCTGTGTGGACTGTATGTAGCAGCATACTTCAGAAGTAGAGAGAGACTGAGTAGTACTAGTCTGTGAAATTGTATAAAAGTGACCATCTCTCCATTTTAACGCTGTTTTTAACATGCCCTTGTCGATTTGCCCTCGTCATTTCCCAAAAGAGGAAACCCACACCTTCTTAGGGGCTGTTCTATTACTGTATTTGCTTACATAATTAACATAATTTAACATAAATTAACATAAATGTAGTCTTAAGCAGCAGACCTTCAGCAAAAAATCATTGCAATCAGACACAGTTTCCTTCTTAAACCTGAAACAATGGCAACTGTTAAAAGCCAGAGGAGTAAAGTACTGTAAATTACTTAAAGCTGCACTGTGTAAGATCTCAAGATTTGGAGACCTCTCTGGTGACCATGTGTAATTGCCACAACATGCAGAAAAATATTTTGTAACAAAGGTTGTGCTTCGGCCCTCTTCCCCAAGTGGATGAATCCGATGATAGCGAGCATGTTGAAAGAGTATTCAGAAAAACCTGTGGATTTAAGTGTCATATCTTCATCAGTATAGTGTTGATTTTGCATTTGAGACCCAAACATCGAGCTGCACCCTCTTTTTCAGCCTGTGTGTGAGACAGTAATACGTAAAGACGTATGATGTGGTCTGAAAAAATCTCCCGCTGAATCCGACCCAACACCTCTGACTTTTATATTACTTTTTTTAGGCTTTACAGGTTGACATGCATATTTTAGCATGTTTTGCTCTCAACCCAGTCATGCTACTTCTTTGGATTACTTACATAGTGCAGCTGTGATATTTTAAAACTGTAACATTCAATTTTCTGTGTTCAAACTGGCCTTTATATAACAAACTACCCAATTATACATAAATGCTGGTGTTACTTTGTGAGTTTACTCTGCTAACTTGCTAGTTAGCAAGTTAGGAACCAGCAACAACAAAAATGAAAGCAGCTTTGCAACAACAGTGAAAGACAAATGTGCCACATTTCTCATTATAAACCTGCAGCTTAAGCAAATCGAAGCAATTATTAACAAAGTGTATTTACATCACACTCAGACTGGTGAGAAAAAGAGAGTATATCATTATAAATTTGCTGAACCAGTTAACTGGCTTACTGAGACTAGCCTAGCTAAGGACAAGTGTGTTCCTATTGAAAAATCTGCTCCTCTTTGTCCCTTCCTGCCCTTGTCCTGTGAGTGACCGCTTGTGTAACCTATGCGCCAGGTGTGAGTCATACAAAGTCAGCAAGGTCTTGTTAAAAACACTATCGGAAAGGAGGGCGTATCTAGATAAAGGTCAACCCTGGTAAGACCCTGATTGTGTCAGTGTGTATTGAAGTGTTTTAGAACTGGACTGTCAGACTTACAGTATATGGCTGTTTATAGAGACTTGCACTCCGGGTCTGTCTGGGAGTGACTGCAGTGGTCAAAGAGGTGGGTGGAGTAGTAAAAAATACATATTAAAACAAATATAGTAATTAAGAGACTTTAACGAAGTTCATTGGGACTTAAAAGATGGGTATTATTATTTTTTTGTAATAATTGACGAAATTAACATTCTGTCAGCTGTCAATAAAGTATATGATCATAGAAAAAACATCTGCTCTCTGTGGTATCCTCAGTATGGAGCCCCACTGGTGACATCCTTTCTAAATAAAAATAATGTGTGGCCATAATAATTAAGATAATTAGATAATTAAATCGTGGCCACGACTTAGTAAGGCATTGGAATGAGATCCTAATGCATGGCCACAACTTAGTAAGACATGGGAACGACGTTCTAATGCGTGGCCATGACTTAGTAAGGCATGATCTTGTTCCCATGCCGTACTAAGTCATGGCCACAACTTGATCTCAGTCTAAGTCGTTGCCATGCATTGGTATCTCCATGCATTAATAAGTCGTGGCCACGCATAATTTTTATTTATGTGGAATGTCGCCAGCAGGGCTCCGTACCTCAGTCTCCTGTAAACGGGCAAAAACAAAAGTGGACCACCCATCGTTCAACAAATCAGGACAAGGAGAGGTATCTACCGGTCAGTCTGCTAGTCATGTTGCACACTCACAGCACATAGCGAGCTAAAAACCTGAGCCCTACTAAGTGAAACAGCTGGTTAGAAGTAATGGCAAAGAAAATAGGGTAACACTTTCTATGAATGTCACATTTGTAAGCATCTATAAACACATTTATAACATGTTATAATGTATTCATAAGGCATTATAAGCGTGGTTATAAATATTTATAAAAATGAATTACACTGGATTACACTTTATAGCCATGTTTATTATACATTATGAATTGTTAATATAATGCATTATAAATAGTGTTAATAACATGTTATAATGTCAGTGCTAAAGAAGTCAGTCCCAGCTTGGAGAGCGTAAAGTAAAGACAAATACCAAGCTAACGGTGGTGAACATTACCTTTCCCACATTGGGTAAAACACTGATGGCAGCTCTAGTTTAAACTCTGACATTTGAAGCCTGTAATGTGCTTTACTGTGAATGTTTTAGTGTTTCAGTAAATCCTTCAGTAAATACTTCAACTTTAAGCCTCACTCTAAACACTGGAGGAGGCTTTAGTACAGTACGCTTCACTTTACTTAGAGCGGACAAATACAACTTATGAGCTCTTATAATTTGTTATGATCAGTACTTATAATGTACTATGTTAACAATTCATAATACATAATAAACATGTCTATAACATATAATGCATTTTTATAAATATTTATAGCCATGTTTATAATGTCTTATGAATGCATTATAACATGTTATGAATGTCTTTATAGATGCTTACAAAGGTCACATTCATAGAAAGTGTTACCGAAAATAGTACCAAAAATGCCAAAAATTCCACACCTGCCTACAGTAGCTTATAGTACAAAATAAACCATGAACTCAGAGCTGAAAGGCAAGAAGAGCGATGCTAACCTAAATCTCTGTACTCTGTATTTAGCATAGCATATCTGAAGCTAACAAAGCCTCCTAGCCTAGGCAGTGTGCCATGTGTTTTGGAGGTGGGATTTTGGAGAATATAGGAAATGAGGGCCTGAATTTGTTTCAAAGCAATGAGTTTCAAAGCAGCTGGCTTCACCAAAATAAGTGACCCCCTCAATGTTATCAAGATCTGATAGTAACTCTCCAGCACGGAGCTGGAATAAAACATACATCATCATCATACATACATACATCATCTACACCGCTTATCCTTCTGGGTTGCGGTGGCGTGCTGGAGCCTATCCCAGCTGTCATTGGGCGGAAGGCAGGATACACCCTGGACAGGTCGCCAATCCATCGCAGGGCAGACAGACAGACGGCACGCATACTGTAGTATGTTCTGACTGTAGTACTTAGACATATTTTAACATGGTCACGTTTATTTTGACCTCATACACACACACACACACACACACACACACACACACACACACATCTTCTAAGCCGCTTCTCCTTCTGGGTCACGGGGGGTGCTGGAGCCTATCCCAGCTGTCATCGGGCGGAAGGCAGGATACACCCTGGACAGGTTGCCAGTCCATCGCAGGGCAGACAGACAGACATACACAATCACACACATTCACACCTAGGGGCAATTTAGCATGTCCAGTTGGCCTGACTGCATGTCTTTGGACTGTGGGAGGAAACCGGAGTACCCGGAGGAAACCCACGCAGACACGGGGAGAACAGGCAACTCCACACAGAAATGACCCTGGTCACCCGGCTGGGAATCAAACCCAGGCCATTCTTGCTGTATGGTGACAGCGCTACCCACTGCGCCACCGTGCCGCCCCTGGTCTGCACCCGTGGTCTGCACCCGTGGTCTGCACCTCGCTGTGCTCTTCCAGCACATGCCTATAGCAGAGTACCTGATGGCCAAGGGACAGGAAGTGGATGTCCCAGACTCAAACGGACAGACGTCATTGATGCTGGCTGCACAGAAGATCATTGGGCCGGAGCCGACCAACTTCCTGTTGAAGTGTAACACATCAGTAAACGCGGTGGATAATTGAACAGGAACTCTCCACTGCACTGTGCCGTGCTGGTGGAATAAAACAGTGTGTGGTAAAAATACATTATTTTTATGCCAATACTGAACATAGTTTTTAGCACTCGAGCTTAGCAATTGCTTGCAGAGCATCTGTTGATACCTGGCCTGGACTCTTTTTCTAGGACTAGCTCGCTCTTTATGCGGTTGGTCTAAAGGACTACGCTTTAAAGGAGATGTTACTGGAGTCTTGGATTATCAAAGTAGTGTGGATTCAAGAACATGATCGAATCAAATGTCAAATGAATGTCAAAAGGAAAGGAAAACGCGCAGTTCAGTTCCAAATAACAAGAAAGCAGACAAATTTTTCACAATTACGAGTGAACGTCAAACCCGATGTGAACTCATCCGTGAATTTGACATTGTTGCTACCCTCTGCAGATGTTTTTTTGTTTGCAGTTTAGGGAGAGAGAGAGAGAGAGTGCTTCTCTGTCCGTGTCCAGATGAAAGGTTGAGTAATAATGTCCGTGTGGGACAGTGTCCGGCAGGTACAGTCACGCATGCTGGGCTGCTGAGGACATTCAGTTCCTCTGCCCAGCGCCCAGGCTCAGACAAAGACTGGATGTTCTTATCTTTTCGACCAAAGTCGCATGCAAAAATAAAAACAGCCAGCATAAAAGCGACAGGATGCTTTCAGCCACTTATTAGTCTGTTAGCGTATTGCGATGTGGAAATGTGTAACTATATTTCATTTTG